TGTATGTATACACACATTGATATACATATACTAAAAAGAAGCCCTAACCTCACTGCCATTAAGTCAATGCTGACTCACAGAAACACCCCCGCGACCCCCTTTCGGTTTCCAAGACTTTAACTTTACAGGAGAAGACAGCCCCGTCTTTCTCTCATGGAGAAAGTGGTTTCAAACTGCCGACCTCGAGGATCACAGCCCAATGCATACCCAGTATACCACCAGGCTCCTTATACTTAGACAGAGACATACACCTACATAAACACATCAAGACCCTTCCCCGGGCAGTGGTTTAGAGGATCCGCTCTGCGCTATGAAACGTCCAGCATGCTGTGCGGTTGGTGGTGGGAAGGCATCGGCAGCCAGGGCTGTCTCGGACTGACTCTGCAGTGTGGGATAAGCCCGTTAGCCATCCTGGGCCTCCCCGCCCCATCCATCAATCGGGGAGATTATCGCAGCAGCAGACACCGATGCACTGGATAGCAGTGAGTGTCCGAGGCGGAGGGAACACGGGGATCCTGGCCGCGCTGGGCTAGATGTGGGTGGGCTGGACCGCCCTGCTGCCTGCATGGCTGGGGAAGAGGCGAAAGGTATTTCCTGCTGAACACAGATTACTCAGGGCGGCTGCAAGCCTAGGGGGCCGTGCTTCCCAAGGCTGTAAACCTTCACCATTCCGGGAGCAGACAGCCTCCTCTAGCCTCCTCTTGCTCGTGTGAGATAGCAGGTGGGTTTGAACTGCAGACCTTGCAGTTAGCGGTCTAACACTTGCCCAACCGTACCACCAATTCTCAAGGTGCCATGGCCTCAAGCAATGGAACTTTCTGGACCGACTCCCATGCTCGTGGGACAACCAGGAGGGTATTTAGGGAAGACACGGGCAATCAAGGGACCAGTGAGGTGCCGTCACAAAGAAGACACCCGATAAGGCCAGACGGTGGGGTGGTGCGTACAGCAACGGTTGTGTCAGTGGTGAGGAGGGGGTGGGGACTTGCTGCAGGGTCAAAGGAGGCCCGAGAGACATGTCTGTCCGCGGGAGACCTGCATGCTGCTATGACACTGACCAGGCTTCAGCGGAGCTTCCAGACTGGGCCAGACGGCAAAGAAAGGCTTGTTGATAAGATTTTTAAAACCAGCCTAATGTCACTAAGGCCTCTGTCCCACCACAGGCCGACGCTGGAGATGTCACAGTGTTTCATGCTGTTGCCTGGCGGGTTATCAGGAGCAAAGGCTCACGGCAACAAAAACAGGAAATGGGTTTAGCAACCCATCGTAACGAGTGGATCTGGGTTTGAACAAAACCTCAACAAAGCATCTAGGTTGGCAACTGGGATTTGATAAATAGCAAAGGTCGATTGTCCAGAAATACTTTCACTCTCAAAGAACCCTTCTTGGATGGTTACCAGAGGTCGAAGAGGGTGGGCGGGCAAATGACTGGTCAGAAGGTAGACACGTGTTCCCTTGGGTGAAGGAGGGAAAAAGTGACAGCAGATAAAATTGCTAACATTAAGAACTATCAATTAAAGTCAATGTAACCCCTTTAAACCAAGCACGCAGGTCCATTCATGTTGCTAGATGTGAGACTAAGAGGGTCCATGGAAATGGGATGGAAGGAGCCCTGGTAGCGTTGCAATTACTCGTAGGGTTGCTAACCTCAAGGTCAGCAGTTCGAAACCACCAGCTGCTCCTCAGGAGAAAGTTGGGGCTTTCTACTCCCGTAAAGACTTACAGTCTTGGAAACTCCCTGTCCTATCGGGCCGCTATGAGTCGGCACCGACCCAATGGTAGTGAATTTGGTTCTGTTCCGTCAATAGGAAGAGGTAAGAAAATGTCCCTACCCTATGGGAGGTACACTGAAATGCACAGTGGTAGTATCCTGACCTATTCAGACATTATTTCAAACCCTTTTATGGAAGGAAAAACAAACACACGGAGAGCGAGAAGCAAGTGAGTGGCATCTTGCTAGTGATTAAGTCTATGGGGTGGGGTTATAGGGGCTCAGTTTAATTCTCTCCTCCCTCTCGTGCATGAGTGAAACTTTGTCCTAATGAATGTTTTTGTTTAAGCATATCTCAGGATGAAAAGGTTCTGGAGCTTCTGAGAGTGATTGTAAGCAGGAGGGTTGCGAGTGGGTGGCTCAGCGTCTTTGCAAGGAACATAAAAATAGTGCGCTCACACACATCCCGTCCAGGAGCTCTGGGGAGGGGCTGCCCGCCCGCGGTGAACAGGGAAAAGAATACCTTTCATTTTGATGGAGAACTCCCCCAGCAAATTCTCCAGCTCCGCTTCGATGCTGCACATGTTCTGCAGAGAGACCAGGAGACTGTGTTAGAGAGCGCCTGCCTTCCCACACAGCTCACAGCCCACAGCCTCCTCAAGACTGGGAACAGATGTGGTACAGGCCACAGGGGAGGGGGGCAGGGGGGCACCTGTCTACAGGGAGGGACACACACTGCCTTCAACGCACTCCTGACAGAATGCTGAGCTCGTCTAAGCAACTCTCTCCTAGGACACAGGGCATTTGGGGCCCAGAAGAACTATTGAAATCATATCATGCACCGATAAATCCAGAACATGGGCTATTTTGTAAAAGCAGGCTTGGACACAACCACCACCCGGCACTTAATCGCTGCACTATCGCAGCTTCTAACCAAAAGGGGCTGGATCATGGGGGGAAACATCTAAATGAAAAAGGTGAAGCGCAGTGATGACTAAATACAACATGGTAACCCTGACTGCATCCGGATTCGGAAGACAAGCAACATGAAATAAAATAAGTTGCCGTCAAGTTGATTCCAACTCATGGCGGCTCATGTGTGACGGAGCCAGCTGCTCCCCCGGGATTTTTGGGGCCGTCATCTGGACAAAAGCAGATGGCCAGGCCTTGCTTTCTGGGCTTCACTGGGTGGGTTTGAACTGCCAACCTTTAGGTTAGGAGCTGCGTGCCACATACGCATTTGGTTTCATCTCATTGGTTGCAATGCCCACTGTGGACCATCAGTTATCCCGCTTCCTCCCTGGGCTGCCTCTTTTCATTCCTTCATCTAGCCTAACCCTTCTGAACTCTCTTCTTGGGTAAACACTACCCTTTTCTTCTTCAATGACTGGTTATCCTCAAACATGTAGACCTCACTAGGGCTATTGTGTTCCCTATAGACCTGTGTCCTCTTAGGCTGAAAATTGAGACCCCTAGGGATGAGTTTAGTTTTGGAACTGAAGGGTGACTAAGGGCCATAATTTCAGGGGTCTCCCCAGTCTTTATCAGATTCCTAAGCCTGGTCCCTTTGAATGATGTTGACTTTTGCTCTACATCTTTCTCCCATTCCATCCAAGACCTTCTAAAGGGATCCCTTTTAGAGCAAGCGGTAGTGGTAGCCGGGCACCATACAGTTCTTCCGGACTGAGGGTCATGCACACTGATGTTCACATGGTCCATCGGTCCCTTGGACTAGTTATTTTCATATCTTCAATGTTCTTCACTGTCCTTGCCTCCAGACAGGGAGAGATGGAGAGTCGCATCTGGATGGCTGGTCATGCACATTTAAGATCCCAGTCACTGCTCCCCAACGTGGGTGCAGGACATGGTCTTTGTGGATTGGTGTCTCCTGAGACTGTGGTCCTGGGCCTGCAGTTCCATGATTCCTTCCCTCAAGTTGTTTGGCTAGGTCAAAGACGTTTTCATGATTTTCTCCTCTGTGTTCTATCCCATTCACGGATATAAAGGTGAATACCTTTGTACAAATATTTCAGAAGTATACAGTGAACCCTCGTTTATCGCGGTTCATCGGTTCTAGACCCTACCATGATAAATGAAATTCCGCGAAGTAGGATTCCTTATTTGTAAATCAAATATTTTCGTAGTTAGAGCACAGAGGACATGAAAAAACACCCTTTAGTCACCATGACACTCGTATTACCCAATTTATTAAACGAAAAAGGGAAAACACAGTAAAACAGTTTGGACGTTACAATGATCATTTATTATTTATTATATTATTTATGGCATCAAGCGTGTACAGTATGAGCCAATCAGTGGCAGTCATGACAGAGCATGCGCTGTTACGCAAAAACCGCGATAGAGTGAAGCCGCGGAAGTCGAAGCACGAAGTGGCGAGGGTTCACTGTACTTCCACTCTCTCTCATCTGGTTAGTCTGTTTGTCTATCCCAGCACCTACTCCTAGATGACTGTCATTGCCGGATTGTGCATGTAACAGTGTCTACCCCTGTTGCCTTTAACTCTCAGCAACGTCCCAGTGTCCTCCCCCGTCTCTATCATTGTCTGCCTTCCCCGACGCCCAAGGGAACACGTGTCTGCCCTCCAGGCAGTAGTTCACCCTCACCCCACCCCCACACTGGTAATCATCAATGAATGTTTTCTTTTAGTGTGAAAACCTCATCTTTACTTAAAAAAAAAAGATCTAAAAAAACCACATTTGCCGTTTTGTGATGGACTCATTTCACTCAGCATAACGCCCCCACGTCCATGTTTCACAGATTCATCCAGTCTTAATGTCGTGTAGTATTTCATTGTGGGTGCATGGCATGCTCGGCACAAGGTTTCCATAGCATGTTCACTTAGATGTTCTCATAACAGTTTGCTTGTGTTTTACGGCCTGTGCCAAGGCATTGGACTGTGTGGATCCAAACAAACTACGAGTAACCTTGAGAAGGACAAGGATTCTAGAACACCTCACTGTACTCTTGAGGAAATTGCCCACGGAGCAAGAGGAGGTTGTGTGAACAGAACAAGGGAATCCTGCATGGTTTAAAACCAGGGAAGGTGGTGTCAGGGTTGTATCCCCCCCACCATTGTTATTCAAGCTGTCTGCTGAGCTTGTAATCAGAGAAGCTGGATTAATGAGGGAGAATGCACCACCACCATTGGAGGAAGGCTTATTGACAATCTTTGATATGCAGATGATGCAACTTTGCTTGCTGAAAGTGAGGAGGACTTGAAGCACTTGCCGATGAAGATTCAGGATCACAGCCTTCGGTATGGATGACACCTTAATGTAAAGAAGACCCAGATCCTCATAGCCATCAGGACCAATGGGTAACATCATGATACACAGAGAAAGGATTGAAGCTGTCAAGGATTTTGTCTTGCTTGGATTCACAATCAATGCTCATAGAAGCAGCAGATGAGAGAAAATGTGGCAAGATATGACAAAATAATAATTTATAAATTGTCAAGGGTTCACGAGGGAGG